GCCCTTCCCCTGTTTGTCCTGCTCTCTTTTTTCGCTTATTACTACGCTTTGTTTCCCTTCTTGACCTTATTCTGTTTGTCTGCTACTCTTTTATCCGTTTATTTTTCCTCCCTGTTTTTGCCTCTTATTTTTTTTACTATTATTATTTATTTTCTTTACTTATTATTTTATTTACTCATCATTTATTTTCACTTATCTACTTATTCTGTTACTGCCTCCTTTTTTCGCTTTCTCCATTTATTCATTATTTATTTATTATTAGTTCTTATGTCCTGGCTTTTAATTTTAGTTTATTTATTGTTTTATATATTTTGGTTTATTTAATTAATTAAGTTCATTTTGTTTTGCTTTTAAGTTTATTAACTAATTAAAGTTTGTTTATAAATTTATTTTAGTTTATTTCCGAGTTTATTTACTTTATTTATTTTATTTACTCTATATTTTTTTTTTCACTTTTTCTACTGTTTCTGGGTTAATGCCTCCAATTTTCGCTGTCTCCGTTTATTGATTATTTATTTTATTATTAAGTTTTTTATGTCCTGGCATTTCTTTTTAGTTTATTTACTAAATTTATATTTTGGTTTATTTAATTAATTAAAGTTCATTTTGTTTTGTTTATTTTAAGTTTATTAGTTATTTAAAGTTTGTTAAATTTAATTTTAGTTTATTTCCGAGTTTATTTACTTATATTTATTTATTTACTCAATATTTATTTTATTTTCACTTATCTACTGCCTCTGTGTTAATGCCTCCATTTCCGCTTTCTCCGTTTATTCATTATTTATTTATTTAAGTTTACTTATGTCCTTCTTCCATTTTACTGTTACACATTCTTCCGTTTGCTTGTTTTACGTTTATTTGTTCTTTATTCACTTTATTGCAGCTTTTACTTTTGTCCTTATCCTGTTTGTCCTGCACATTTTGTATTCGCCTATTACTACATTTTGTTTCACTTATTATGCCCTTATTCTGTTTGTACCGCTTCCCTTTATTAGCTTAACTTTCCTCCCTGCTTTGTGTATTAATTTTCTTTATTTACTTATGTCCTTATTCCGTGATACTGCCTCCTTTTTTTCGTTTTCTCCCTTTATTCCTTATTTATTTAATTACTTAGGTTATTACTTTTGTTCCTTTTCTGCTTATACTACCACACTTTCCTTCATTTGTTTATACGTTTATTCGTTATTTATTTACTTTATTTCAGTTATTACTTTTGCCTTTGCTCTGTTTGTACTGCTCACAGTTATACGCTTTCTCAAGCGTTAATGTTTCTAGTCATGCTTTCCCGGTTATTCTGCTCCTCTTTTCGTTATTTATTTCCCGTTTTATTCATTATTTATTTACTTTATTTATTTTACTTTGCCTTTATTTCTGTTCGTCTGCTACCCACTTATGCATTTATTTTATCATTCTGTTTCATATGTTATTTATTCTCTTACTTCTTATGGCCTTATACAGTTTTACTCCTCCCATTTATTCGTCTTTCTCCGTTTTCATTTTTAGTTATTACTTATGTTTTTTTTTCCCCCCCCGTTTAACTGCTACGCTTTCATTCGTTTTCTTTATTTTCTCTGTTTATTCGTTATTTATTCCTTTATTTCAGTTATTACTTCTGTCCTTATTCTGTTTGCTCTGTTCACTTTTCGCTTATTTATTTAGTTATCATTTCGTTTTACTTATGCCTTTTTCTGCTTCCTGGTACTTTTTTAGTTTTATTTTATTTACGCGTTTTACTCGTTATTTATTTTACTTATTTCAGTTTACTTATGCTTATGGTATATCATGTCCATGTCTCAAGTTCTTTAAGTTTTTTTTTTTTTTTTTTTTTCTTGCTGCCATGCTTTGCTTTACATGGTTATAAGTTATCTTGCTTACACGCTTAGCCATGTTTCCTTTCCTGTCCTGCCCTGGCCGCCCGCTTATATTTTCCCCTCTCCGCAGTACGGGGATGCCGCCCCCCCCCCCCCCACGGTGAAGAAGAGGACAAGGGCGGCGTCAACAAGAGGACAGCGACGAAGGGGCACTAGGACGCAACCGCCCAGGGCAAGGGTGAAACCCGCTCGCTTCGCCTCCTCCTCGGAGGCCTCTTCGGGAGGCTCTGACTCGGATGGCGACCACATCCACGATGCACGCCCAACCGGCATGGCCACGGGGAGCGCGGCTGACCAACCCCCACAACTTTCGGCCGCCGACTGGGCAACGCTGCAGACGCTCATTGCTCAGGCTCGGAGCCCCCCCTCCGATTCGAGGCGACGGCATACCTCGAACCCTGGCAGAGTGGGCGACACGGACGTCCTCACGAACCGGCCTACACGAACAGCTTTCCCCCCCTGCGCGCCGCCCACAGTCAAGGGCGAGGAGCCACACGACAAGGCGACGACACAGCTCTTCCAGCACGTCCTCCAACGATGAGTACCACCGAGAGAGCTCGTTCCCCCCCTACCCCTAGTCCTCGGGTGGGACAGCCCTGGGGGACGCGAGGCAACACCGTCACCATGCTAGGCGAGCATGTCCCACTGGCCCTAAGAGAGAAAGTCTGGGCAAACAAGTACATCTACTTGCACGAGCTGCTCTCATACGAACGTGATGCCAGGCCCTCAGAGACACGCCATGCCACTCCCTCTGAGGCCCAGTTGTCCATTAAGAACTTGCTGCCTCTGACGCCGGAGCAGTGGGGGCACGGCTTTGACATCTTCGTTTCAATCTACCTGGAGCGACATCCCGCCGAGGGGCGGGCGCTTTTCACTTATGTCCGTTATGTGAAGTCCATGAAGCGCAACCTCCACGGCAACTGGATGTGGTACAGGGACTGTGGACTGGGACTGACGAGGCGTTCAGGAGGGACAAGGAGAGGTCGGACTGTCCTTGGACTGCACTAAGACTCGACCTGGAGATTCGGTCGGTACAACTTGCAGCGCACGAGCGGATTCAGGTGGTTCCTCGCGCCGTCGCCTCCCCAGCTGAACGCTCGCTCTCCACTGCACGGGCCTACGGACTACCACCAGGATACTGCTACGCTTTCCACGCAACCGGGGCAGGCTGCTCCGTCTCCTCCTGCACCTTCAAGCCCTACTACCCGCGCTGCCACAAGCGACACCCTGCCTACTGCCTGTGCCCCCAGGCCCAACCTCGAGTCACCACCGCCAAGGAGAAGCGTTCCCGTCGCCCCCCCCCCCACAGGACAGGGGCAGGAAGAGAAACACACGTCATAACGCCAGTGGACGCAGACGCACTTGATGCTCTCCTGGTGGGTTACCCCCTCCGGGACTATGTCATGGGAGGCTTCCGGGGGGGGTTTCCTACTCGATTACGAGGGGGCGCGGACTCCCCTCTCCTCTCGTAACCCCCCAGCAACTACGGCCTTGCCACATATAGTGGGGCCTATGCTCGACAAGGAACTGAGCCTGGGGCGCATAGCGGGCCCCTTCGAGGTCCCCCCATTTGAGAACTTCAAGTGTTCTCCCATAGCCCTGAGAGAGAAGTCTACGCCGGGCAAATACAGGCTCCTGCACAACCTCAGCTACCCCTATACCTCTGAGAGCGTGAACGCCAACATCCCGCGGGAGACGACAACAGTGACCTACCAGTCCATCAACGACGCGGTGGCCTTGGTGGTCAGACGCTCGCCGGGGGCGCACTTGGCGAAATGCGACATAGCAGAGGCGTTCCGGATCGTCCCGGTCAACCCCAGCGACTACCACCTACTCGGCTTCGCCTACGGAGGGCGGTACTACTACGAGAAAATGCTCAGCATGGGGGCGGCACCCTCCTGCAGGATCTTCGAGACGTTCTCCGACGCCGTGCAATGGATCCTCGCGGAGAAGTTCGGCGTGCGGGATGTCGTGAAGGTGCTGGACGACTTCCTCTTTGTGAGTTCTACCTACAACGAGTGTTTGCGGAGCCTACGGGTGTTCACTGCCCTCTGTGAGCGCCTAGGCGTTCCCCTGGCCCCCCACAAGACTGAGGGCCCCCGCCCCTGCCTTACCTTCCTTGGACTTGAAATCGACGCCCGACGTATGGAGACAAGGCTGCCGGACGACAAAAGGACGAAGTACATGGCCGCAGTGGAAGACGCTCTGCGGGCCGAGAGCCTTCCCCAGCGGGACCTGCAGGGGATTATCGGAAAACTGCAATTCGCCACGTCAGTCCTACCGGGGGGGACGGGCCTTCCTCAGACGACTTCACCCGCTCACACGAGGTGTACAACGTCCCTCACGCCTCTGCCTGCTGGACGCGGAGGCGAAGCTCGACTTGCGAGCCTGGCACACTTTCCTCGGCGCATTCAATGGGATAACGGTTTTTCCACCAGACGGTGGATGGGGGAGCGCCACGGCCCTCGCGATGTGTGCGGACGCCTCATCCGAGGGTTACGGATTCACACTCGGAGAGACCTGGTTCAGGGGTACCTGGCCTATGGACTGGAGCCGGCTCAACATTGCGCTCCTCGAACTTTACCCGTTCTACATGGGGATATCCATCTTTGCAACAGTGTTAGCAAACAAGAGGCTTGTGTGTAGGTCCGACAATGCCGCTGTGGTAAACGTGCTGCAATCTCTGTCCGCCAGGTGCCCCCTCCTCATGCAATTGGTCCAGCCACTGGCAATCCTCCTCCTCACCCATAATATTACGCTTCTTCCATCACACCTCCCGGGCAAGTTAAATGGGGTTTAATTGTGACGCTCTTTCCCGGTTGCAGGTACTGCCGCCCTCGTTCCTGCGAGACGCAGGACTCGCCGAGAAGCCAACCGCAATCCCGCAGCACCTCCTGCCCTGCAACTTCACCCTGAAACTGTAAGGACGCTGCTCGACTCCCTGCAGCTCGCAACACGGCGAGCATATCAACTTAAGTGGGCGAGTACGTGGCGTATGTATCGAACGACAGGAGTCGGGAGTTTCCCTTCGAGGCCTCGTCCACGACACTGGCGAACTTCCTGCAGTCGCTGCTGTCTCGAGGTTTGGCTTTCCGCTCTCTCAGCGCCTACCTTGCGACAATCGCCTTCATGTTCAAGCTGCATGGTAGGGAGGATCCTACTCGCCAGTTCCTAGTCACACAACTACTTAAGGGAGCGCGCAACAAGGCCCAACGGCTCCCCGCACGACGATTGCCCGTGACCAGACGACTACTGCATCGACTACTGGGGGCCCTGCGAGGTGTCTGCTGCTCGACTTACGAGAAGACCTGCTACCGAGCGCTCTTCTCCCTCGCCTTCTACGCCTGCCTCCGGCCAGGGGAGGTGACCTATACGGGGAAGGGGCAACACACGCTACGCTTGGACCAGTTAACTTTATCGCGGACAGGGATCGACATCGCGTTTGCCTCCTACAAGCACAGTGCAGGGCGTACCCCAACTTTAACCCTGAGTGCAGACCCCTATAGCAAGTACTGCCCGGTCCGTGCAATAACGAACTACATAAGACGACGGGGCATGGAACCAGGACCTATCTTCCTAGGCGAATCGGGCGCCCCGGTCACCAGACAAGATTTCACATGGGTGCTCCGTGCTGCCGTTCGAGCACTAGGCCTGCCTCCAAACGATTATGCTCCTCACTCCTTCAGAATCGGCAGGGCCACGCAGATGTCCAAGGATGGCCTGGCATCGGCAGCAATCAGAGCAGTCGGCAGGTGGAAAAGTGATGCATTTCACTCCTATGTCAGGCAAGACGTCATTCCATTACCTAGATTAGTTACTTCTGTGGCCAGCGGGCACCTCGCCCTTCGGGGGGTGGGGATCCGGCTTCGCTGGCCTGCGGAGTGGGGGTGCTGCGCCGGATCCCCAAGTCTAGGGCTGCCCGCAGCTACTTACCATATGTCAAGTGCTCTCTTGTAGTGCAAGTTGGGGGTTGCAGACTTTACATGTAAACTAGGCACTAGCATATCATTACCCCTGGAAATTCTTATCTATTCTTTTCTATGCCCTCTGTGTATACTCTCGTACTTGGCTTGAGCACGTTCGTTAAGGACATGAATCATTTTAAAATATGCTGATGCGGATCGACTTCCTTTTCCAGTTAATGTTTCTGTGTCACTATCACTGTTGTCATCCCTGAGTTGACTGACGACGTCGCTGCCACCGCCTCTGTTGTCGCTCTCCTCTCTGCCGCCGCTGCCGCCGTCGCCGCCGCCGCCTCCGCCGCCGAAGGTACCTTTACCAGCGCGGGCTACGGCTTTAACACAGCAGCATGGAGGCTGCTGTATCTCATGTGAAGGAGCCTGACGTAGCGTCTGTATAATTCCAGTCAGTTCTGCTACCTGTGGGTATGGGGTCCACTACCGCCCACAAGATGGGTATGGGGTCCACTACCACAAAGTTATCAATTTATGAAACAGATTGACAAATTTTAAGTTCCAAGTTTATACATATTGTGAAATTGAGAGTCTATGTAGTAACATAAATTGGTAAATCATAAATATTGTAAGTTAAGAATCTCATGCAAGTGTGTGTGGGGGGGGGGAGAGGTGATTCCCTTGGTAAGCGAGAGTGGCAGGTAACCTTAGACGTTCTGTGGTCAACGTGGGGTGATGGGGTTGGGAGGGTCAAACCCACCCTCCAACATCTGGGCATAGTACCACCAGCCTCCACAACACTCCCAAAGCTTCCTGCTGATGCTTGTAGCTGCCTCATCTAACCTCACCTATGTCACGCATTAACCTACAGTTCCTGTGATATTTAAACTCCTCATCACAGTGGCGTCTCACCAATATAAACTGTATTGGATTTTGTCCCGAAATAGCTATATGCTGACTGGACGTGTATGTATGTATGTATGTATGTATGTATGTATGTATGTATGTATGTATGTATGTATGTATGTATGTATGTATGTATGTATGTATGTATGTATGCATGCATGCATGTATGTATACATGTATGTATGCATGCATGTATGCATGTATGTACTCAAATAATTGTGCTTGCGGGTTGAGCTCTGGCTCTTTTGTCCCGCCTCTCAACTGTCAATCAACAGGTGTACAGGTTCCTGAGCCTACTGGGCTCTATCATATTTACACTTGAAACTGTGTATGGAGTCAGCCTCCACCACATCACCTCCTAATGCATTCCATTTGTCAACCACTCTGACACTAAAAAAGTTCTTTCTAATATCTCTGTGGCTCATTTGGGCACTCAGTTTCCACCTGTGCCCCCTAGTGCGTGTGCCCCTTGTGTTAAATAGCCTGTCTTTATCTACCCTATCAATTCCCTTGAGATCCTTGAATGTGGTGATCATGTCCCCCCTAACTTAAATTTAAATTTTGCCCCGAGGGGCGAGTTTATTGGGCAGCGCCACTCATCTTGTGAGTGGATACACCGCCATAGCAGCATGTACAACACTCCCCAATAGGAAGAAAACCCGCTGGGTTGTTCATCCTGTCACGTACCCAGACACAGCTGGGACTTGCTTAACTGTCTCAAGTGAACAGTTCCTCAAACAAGAAGATTAACATCTATCAACCCTTAAAAGTTTGCGTTATCTTGCGGGTGCAAAATGGGGAAATCTTTTAAGAACAGCATCAATATTTGACAAATAGTGTTTTCCTAACTCAAACAATGTGGGGTTTATTATTCTACACATATTTCTGATATCTCTCAAGTGTTCACATTCACGTAGATAGTGGTCAAGGCGGTGTCCATCACTCTCACCACAGATTCTGCAACTTCGCTGATCAACTGTTGTTTCCATTCCATATCTCCAAGGATATTTGTATCCAAGACGGATTCTTGCTATTACTGATTCCCTCCCTCGTCCTCCTCCTCTTCGGCCATAACGATTGGGATTGCCAGCTGCAACCATGTTGTACCATCGTATAGATTCACTAGTTTGTGCTCCTATCCTCCTTTCCTCAGTTACCTTGTCACGGTGATGTTGCCTTACAATACCTCTAATTCGTAGTAGAGTCTTGGGTATGAAGTATTCACTATGGTCTCCTTCAGCGCCTTCAGCAGCCAGCACATCTGCTCGTTCATTTCCACATATTCCAACATGGGAGGGGATCCACAGAAACTTGATGACTCTTCCCTGATTGCTAAGTACTCTCACAGCTCTCTTAATTTCAGCGACTATTGCAAGATTTTCTGCCCGATTTTTACTTAGGCTTTGCAGTGCTGCTTTTGAATCGGTGCAAATCACTGCACCATTAGTGTTCCGTTCAAGAAACCTTAACGCCATAACAATGGTAGTTAGCTCTGCTTGCGTTGAAGAGGCATAGTTCTCAATACGCGCTTTTTCTTCATTTCTGCGTTGGAAAGTATTATCCTTGATTACCGTGTATGCTGCACCAGCCCTGCCATTGACAGGATTAGATGACCCGTCAGTGTAGATTTGATCTAGTTCATCTCCGGCTTCTTTATAAATTTCCTCGAGATACTTGTGCCTCATTTCTTGTGGTATCATGTTGGATTTTTTCGTTGCCATTTCATTGATGATGATCTTGCATGAGTCATCCTCCCAGGGAGGTAACCTCTCTACAGGCAGGAGCTCACGGGCTTGCTCAAGCAGGTGAAGTTCTTCGAGGTAGCAGACTGATCTGTGATGCCAGTTTTTGCTTCTCCTGTTTCCCCCTGAAAGTAGCACAGAGCTCAGATTTTTCTTAGCAATATCATTGTAATGGGGGATCTCTGGCTATCCTAATTGCAAGCTTAGCATTCAGCTCCTGAATTCTGCTTTTAACACTGGGAAGGGACAACTCCTCTCGTAGATTAGACGTTTTGGCAGTCCTTGGAACTCCAAGAATGATTGTCATGGCTTCATTTTGAATGTTTTCAAGCCTTTTTATATTGCTTAGGGAGTAGGTGCACAGAACTGGTGCGGCATAGTCTATGACGGAGCGCACATAGGCTGTGTACATCATTTTAAGCACGGCAATAGAGGCTCCATGTCCATTCCAGGTCATGGCTTTCAGTGCCCTGAGTCGACTTTTGCATATTCCTATGAGTTGATTGAGCTCCTCTTTCTTTCCCTTGTTAGAGCCGACAGTGACGCCAAGGTACCGATAGTGGTCAACCCATTCAAGTGTTACACCATTAATTTGCAGTTCTTCATTTGCTCTCCGCTTGCGATGGGAGTATGCCTTCGTCTTGTTTGTGGAGAGAGTGAAACCGAGCTCAATACATTTCCTTCCAAGGAGTTCAATGGACTGTTAAATTTTTCCGAAGGTGGGAGCTTGTATTAGGACATCATCTGCATATCCCACTTGTTTTGTTCCTTCCGGAAAATCAATATTTGCAATGGCGTTCATAAGTACATTGAATAGTGTAGGGCTTAAGACTCCGCCTTGGGGGGTCCCGAGTTCCATATTCATTGTTCTGGAGACTGCTCCATTGAAGCAAACCTTTGCTTTCCTTCCTGTGAGGTAGGCTTCAACCCATTTCATGAGTCTCCCCTTGACACCCATGCATGCAAGCTCGTCCAGGATCACAATCCCCTGTGCTTTGTCAAAGGCTCCTTTGATGTCAACAAATACAGAGTACCTAGCCGTGTCATTAGCCAAGTAATTAACTATACAATTTGCTGTGTTCCGTCCTTTAACAAATCTATTGACCCCTCCCCTAACCTGCCTATTTTGTGCAACAGTCGGTTTAGGATGATCCTTTCAAGCATCTTGCAAGTGCATGACACGAGACTAATAGGTCTGTAATTACCAGGGTCATTAGGCTTCGGTATGGGAACAATTATTGCGTGTTTCCATTGTGTGGGCAACACTCCACTTAGGAATGACTCGTTAAACAGGTGGAGTAGTGGATTCCCAGACACTTCACACAGTACATTGAGTATGTCGTAGGTGACGCCATCTTCACCAGGTGCTGTACTTTTACCCTTTTTCATAGCGCCCCTTACTTCTTGTGCTGTGATTGGTTCCCCATATTCGTCATCACTAGACAGTGCTCTTGTTATCCTAATTCTTCTGTCATCATGTCGCAGGAGCTGTTCCTTGCTGATTTCTGCAGGGAGGGAGGAGGAGGATGCTGCATCACTCCACTTGTAAATTAGTTCCTCAGCCTTACCCTGGGGGGTCTTTGTGAGCCGCAGGCCGGGCTCTGCCCCCCTTAGCTATCTTAATTTTTGCCCACACTTGTCTTGCAGATGTTTCCCGTCCAATAGAGCTAGTGAACTCAAGCCATTGTCTTTCCCGCTCTTTAATCTTCTCTTCCCTGGCTACTTGACACACAGTTTTAAACAACTCTTGGTTACTTTCAGTGGGATGTCTCCGGTACTCTACTCATGTCTCGTACATTTGCGTTGAGCATCTTTATGTAATCATTCTCATACCATTTTATTTTCTTCCTCTGAGGATTACTTCGCCCAGGTGTACGGCGCGGAACTCTTAGACAGCTCTCAATTTGGTGATTAAGGTCATCAACAAATGTGTCAATGTCTTCTGGGATTTGGTATTCCGTGAACCAGTCACTCATCCTGTTTATGAAGTGCGGCCTCATATCTGGTCCGAGTGATAACCTTTTTCTTTTATTTGTCTTTTCTTTCTCTTGCTCATGTCGACGGTGGTAATTAGTGCCCAGTGGTGACTACATAAAACTGTGCACAATGTGTGTACTGGCATCCGTGTCCTGTGCATTCAGCAGGAGAGCATAGTCTAATCTTCCTCCTCTGAGGTGAGTTGGCTGTTCATCACCCAGGACTCTAAGGTTTTCACTTCCCTGACAAAGAGTGACAGTTTTCGTCCATTGACATTGGGCTGATGACAGTTGGCACCAAAGTGTGGGTGTCTGGCATTCAGGTCACCGACCAGCAGGGTAGGTTCTTCATTAACAAATTCAGGCAGTGCGTCAAGGTCAAGTTTACTCTGTGGCACATATAGGTTGATTATATGTAG